TACAAACAAGCAAACACCCAGTATGCATACCTTAACGAAATAATTGTTATTAGAATCGTAGTTTGTAAATGTTTATTTAAAACAACGTCTTTGAGATTGAGTATGTGTTATATTAACGAAGTAATAAAAATTTGAATTATAGTAAGTTTTAAATACAATTACGCCTTATGAGAGAAATACGTATTACCATAATTAAATCATTATCAATAGATTTATTTATATGTGGATGTTTATATAAAACTAAATATTTGATGTTATAATACTGAACATATTATTATTAAGACTCATAATGTAGGTAAATAAATATGTAGAATTACACACGGACTTTTCTCTATGTTGAAATAGTTTTATTTTCGAGTCCTCTCACCGAAGCCTTCATCGGGTAACAAAGTAGTGAACGATAAATATTCGTTAAACAGTGGAACACTACTTTAAAATAGGTATCTAGGCAACAGTCGTAACAATAACTGACATCGGGTATTAAAGTTATTAAACATATAGAATCATGATGAATATAGAATATATATCGATCACTTCGATATAATAAACACAAGGGAAAATAAAATTATAGGCATTATATAGAGAAATAAAAATGAAGGAATATTTCTAATACAAAAAATACATTGTAAAATTAAAGGTTTAATTTTACATCAAAACCACGACAAATAATATGCTTCATGTCTTTTGTTAGTGGTGTCCATGCTGTATTGAGTTGTTGTTGGCCGTTGTTTTGATTAATACCCACTGGTGTTCCACTGTCTTATGCTTGGATAGCAATAGATTCCTTGATTTCTGTACGTTTGGTGTTTTTTTCTCTGTATATTATTTTTGCATTCTTTAAGTGTATTACATGGTCGTTTTCCTGAACGTAAAAGTTATAGCTGGTGTGTTTGTAACACAGTTCTTAATATCTCTTTGGTGTTCTTTGAACCATACCTGTAACGGGCGTTGTGTTTCCCCAATGTATTTTTTATTACACTCACACCTAGTGCTATAAACCACATTCTTAGTGAGAGGACTGGGAAGTGGGGATTGTACCTTCATAAGACTGTCGGGTAGTGTAAGAGGACTTACGAAAACTACGGTGATGTATAGTTTATTCATTATTTTACGAAGTTTCTCCCTAGACCTGGTATATAAGGAAGAAATGTTTTTTTTTTGTTTTGTTTTTACTTTTCGTTGTGATTTTCAGGTTGTGGTTCATTAGTAGTCGAGACAGAAGAATCATATAACACACGTTTACAAGATGTTTAAGTTCTTCAGCTAAGTAAAACGAGAAGCATATACTTGTAGCTCTAGCTTTTAGTGTTTTGATAATCCTCGTTTTGACAGCATGAGCGAAAATTCAGATATTTATTTGTTTGAGTCTTCTTCTGATAAACGGAAAACACACAAAACTTGCGCGTTTATACCGCTACAGCCACAAACTTGTGTTTAGAGAACACAGTTTGTACTGTTGTGAAATAACACAATGCTTGTGTTAATTTACTACAAAATTCTCGTTACACTTCGTATATGTATGCAATAGTTAAACTTTTCTTTATTTGGCGCAAAGGTATTGATTGTTACGAAGTTGTTCTGTTACTGCTTTCTCCACATTTAGACGTAAATGTTCTCCCTATGGTAAATTATCGCTTAAAACCTTTTTCAAGTAATATACAACGTGGGCCAAAGTATACCCTCAATAAAGAGACCAAAAATACCAAGTCAGTTGTATTTGATGGGATTTTTTCGCGTGGGGCTGTTTACGTGATCATGTCCACATCTGATTCAGTGATCATGAAAATACAAGATATCACAAAGAAAAGTTCGTTGTGTTTCTTGTAGCTTCGTTAGTTTTGGTTTTATTGGGGAAGGGTTTGCTATGATCTATTCTGTACAATAAATAATATTCATACAGGCAAATATTCTGTGGCCTATATACATGACTAACTTGTAGTCAAAATAATCATTAGAGTCAGCGTTAGAGATATTGTACTCTGGAAATTTAGATAATTTTTTTTATATATCTGGTTAATAAATGTTATCTAGTTCTCTTTGTTTATTTATGTCTTGCTTTAGATTACTTCGGGTTTAATTATATTGTTAAGTTATATATGTCCAAACGTTATAAAAAATATGCAGAGTACAGAGGGTTTAGTATGTTATATCAAAACGACTTTGAATATACAAATCAGCAAGTCACATGACAATCACAGCGGATATAATCATGATGGAACGGCATGTATAAGAACTACATTTTCACATTGTTTAGCATTTCATAAATAGCGTGATGCCACCGAAAACTGGTCATCTTTGTGAAGGATATATAATAGCCCTCTATGATGTAAGATGGCAAAAGCCATCCATGCGCCCCAGAGAACAGTACATAACATCATCAAGAAGGATATTCGTCTGGAAAAGCGACACAAGTCACGGGTACACAAGTTTCCTCCATGATATTTCTGTTGAATAGTCGCATACCTCAAGCGTCTGGAAAATAAAACGAGTATTCACGCTATTCCATACAAAGATGTGTGAACTGAATGATCGGCAGCGCCTATGGATTTATGTGTGTTCGGACTGTTGAAACAGGTGCTGGGAAACTGTCGTCCTTGTACATTAGACAGATTGTAAGAAGCAAGCAGGAAGACATGGTGTGCTTCGGACACGAACGATTTACGACAAAGCATTTTTTATTTTTATGGACACTACGTTGCAGGGTTATTTCCAAGATGTACAGTCATCGGATGGAGCATGATCGGACGTAGTGACATGAGCTATAATGACGTAGTAAGGTTCCAAAATTGTTTTAATATAGTGTACTCAATCCTTGTGTAACTGTAATGCTTCTACTGATATTTATTTAAAATTAAGTCTTAATCATCTAATATATATTAACTAAACTATTGGTATTAAGATCGTATGTTTGGTTTATATGTAACTAAATCATAATCAATAACAAAAATATATAACCTTAACTAAGTCATGTATATTAGAAGTCCAGTATATGTTACGTTAATTAAATCTATGTAATTAAAAGAACAATGTGTGTCAGTCAGTTCATGCGTGTATGCGTGCTAGATCACATGGAAACCTAATATTCATATTGGTGAATTGTACAGTGGTACTTTTACGTTTATACGAGTGCAAAGGTGAACGACATTTAACGTGCAAAGTTACAGGTTTCAGATGATATACAAATGCGAGTTAAGTACATATACACAAGAAATTTACACATTTAAAATATGACGACAGTTGACTTTTACACTTCTTGATACCATAATTTTAGAAATTTACTATTTTGTAACTATTATACATTTTCAACTATTTCAGTATAGACGCCTAAAAACTGAAAACACTTCGTAAGCCAGGAAGGAATTTACCCCTAGGGGGAATAAAATATTACACAATGTCCGTTATTGGCGGTATTGGACCCGATGCTTTGTTAATACTTTAGAGAAGGGGAAAAAAAAGAGTTGATACCATCATGGAAGGAAAATAAAAAACAACTGAAATAGCGACAAATGAAAACAGTTAATTTTTTCTTACACTTATTAATATTACAATTTTAAAATTTCACTTTTTTATAACATCGCTTCATCAAGAGTTTGATCAAGAAAAAATATCAAGTTCCTAGTGAAAGATAGCGATTATCCACAAAAACCAGGTATTTATAGAAAAATAGTTGTGTACAGAGATATATTTCGTTTATAGACATTCCACTTTTTTACACTTACTTATTTTATATCTAAATACAAGGATTCTATATTCTACTTAATAGGTTTTTCTTGTCCAGCTACATAATACAACAATAGCATTATCATATGTAGTATACCACTTAATAAGGCTGCATATGTGAAAAAAACATTTAAACTTTAGCTTATATGGCACAGCACCCTTTTCGTATGCAGAAGGTCGAGGATTCAGTCCTGTTTATATCCATATTTTTCCCCCCCCTAAACAATGTTTCAGTCGTCAAATAATCTTAGTACATACATCGTACGCGAAGCACGAATTTATCTTCTAGTCATCAGTAATAAAGTCGTTGTTTAGGGGACACTTATAAACAACTAAATTATAATCATGAATTTTTTCATGCTGTTTATTTGTTTGTTTTGAATTTCGCGCAAAGCTACACGAGGGCTATCTGCGCTAGCCGTCCCTAATTTAGCAGTGTAAGACTCTGGGCTACTCTTTTACCAACTAATTTAGATTGACCGTTACATTATAACGTCCCCACGGCTGAAAGGGCGAGCATGTTTGATGTGACAGGGATTTGAACCCGTGACCCTCAGATTGCGCTAACCACCTGGCCATGCCGATCATTTTTCATACTTTAACCAACTCATAAAAGTAATTATTCTGTGGATATTAGTACACAAGTATTTTTTGTCTATAATTGTTACCTAAACCATTGTTTTGTGAATAATTTCTACAGCTCTGGTTTCGTTCGACACTATCTGTTACATCAGCTAAAATCAAACTCATTATTTAGTGAATACTTTTATAGTTTTATTGGTATGTGCTATATGATCGGTACGTTGTCTTTTGCTTCTTCAATTGTCCAATCCGACTAGTTTTTAATCGGCCAACCTATGCTCTTTTATTGTATTATTCGTATACACTTGTTTCCTTTAGTTAATGCATCACAATAAAACTTAGCTGATCAATAGGTGTTTCCTGTTTTCAAAACATTCATGTATTGATCTTTAACCTTTACATACTTCTAAATAATTAGTGTCAGCTTAGTGCTATGTGTTGTGTCGTTAGTTTTAAAACTTAGTTCTACCATTTTTTGTTGATATTTCGGACATTTAAGAGTTTCTCTGTTTTTATGAAAGTTATTTATTATCTGAACCAGCCATTTATCATAGTCTATTTTGCTAGAAAAGCAAGGTTGAAAGTTGGTCTGCCAAAATGTGTTACATTTGTTAAGCCTATACGAAACGTTATAAATTACATTACATTATTCAGAAAGATTAATATTTTTTCATTAAATTATTATAATTATCGTTTACCTTAACAGACCACGGTGAACAAACACACAGTCGTTTTCCAAAAACTATTAAAAAACTCACATGTATTTACCAGTCGATATTTTTCTTTGAACAACACCTACTGTAACCTCTGCCCCTTGAAACGTTGTCACTACTATAATTTGAAGAAAGCTCTATTGACCTTTCCACCGGCCACATTCGCTCTAGTTAGTAAAAACAGAGGACCCGTGAGGACCCTTGACCCGAGTCCGGATTTCGCGGGATCGCATTCTCAGCTACGGTAGCTGAATGTTCGCGTCGTTGGGGGCACGTGGCGCGAGCTGCAATAACTTGTTTACTCCAGCAGAGGAACTTGCAGTAAGGAAAAGGAAGCGGTCTGAGAGGAAAATGCCAGAAAGGCGCTGTTGAAACGACGCTAAAAGTGTGTGTCCGGACACTTTATATAGACTGAACACTATCAAACGTCGCCTTATATCACTTGTCCAACGACCAGCCTGTTTCACCCCGGCCAATTTAGTACTGGTAAGTTTGTTATGTTTCTGATAGAAAGATCTGATAGCCATACTCTACAACTGGTATTGGGTTTCAAGAAGGCCTCGATAACTTCTCTCGATAACCGACTAGACGAGTTAGCCTTGGACACGATATCCAACAAACATTCGGTCTGCATGTCTTAAGAAAATGGAATTAGAAACGACAGGTTCCATTCTTTTAATGAGATCTCAGCGTGCTATAAATATTCGGATATAGACTTCGCGGAGACATGTGTAGGGATGTACTGTAAGCCTAAATAATATATACATGACCAGTGAAACCTTGGGACCGTGAGTACAAAACCGAAACCTTATCACCAGTTGCAATTTTTAAACTGTTCAATTTACCGTTGTTACTATGAGTCTTTGAGCTACTAAAAGTATTCGTAGCTAGCTTGTGGCACTTTAACTGTGAAGAAGATTTTAGAGTGATGGTAGTAAGTGAAATCTGTTATGATCATTTTTCTCGTTTTTGTTTTTTGCCAGAGTATACAAAACTATTTAGTTGTTTACATGAAACAAACACAGTTTGTCCGCTGGTCAATATATATTGGTTTAGTTTCGTGGATTATCGTTTATTGAGAAAACGATTGCATCAAGTATCGCAGTCTTTTTAATAAGGCACTTGAAATTTCAGGGATTGTTTCTGTGAATTGTTTTGTAGACACGCCAGTCTGAAATTCTCCTATGATGATCATTTGTCGCTGCATGTTGGTTAGTGATTATATCTTTAAATGAGTCTGTTTGTTTGTGCCTTGTGTCTATAGACGTGCGTGTCTCTAATTGTGTCTATATGTATTTATATCTTTGGAGGAGTCAATAAATTTCCAAGTTTGCATCTGTTTCTATGGGCGTGTCAAACGTGATTCTGTGGCTGTTTTTAGGGGCGTGCCTATAGATACGTAATTCTGTGACTGTGTCTGCAGACAAATGACTGTACATTTGTTTCTGTGTGTATATGTGTATTCAAAGATATATGTTTGTTTGTGAATGTTTCTATAGATGAGTCTATAAAAACGTGTTTGACTAAGAGTTGTTCTATGAATGAATCTATAGAAATGAATGCATGTGACGATTTGAATAGATGGATACATATGTGACCGATCCCATAGGCTCTACACACAAGATCTGGATAAAAAGAAACTATTCTTAATTTAAATAAGCTCTCTCTTAATCGGCTGGGATCTATTGGAGTTTTCGTGTCAGTTTCCAGATGCTTTCGCTTGTCTAACTTCCAGTAGAACAGACTTAAGGAAGTTTCGATTAAAAACACCACTTATAGAAGTCAAAGAAAATTCTTTAGTAAGAATCGCCTACAGCCGCCAAATAACTGTACTCGTCCAACGGAAAACGTTTAGTAAGGATCATTTACATTGGTTATATTCTGCTCTCAAAAGGAAATGTCTAACAGGAATCGCTTGCAGACGTCAAATAACTGTACTCGTCCAACGGAAAACGTTTAGTAAGGATCATTTACATTGGTTATATTCTGCTCGCTCAAAAGGAAATGTCTAACAGGAATCGCTTGCAGACGTCAAATAACTGT